TGAATCTATCTTGTCCGATGCATCACATCCCTTACACACAGCGCTATCTAGCTGCATTTCAACTCCTGTCACCCGCAATAAATTTAAACCTTCATATACTAGTGCCACTGCTTTTCACAAATCCGTTGTACCTTACCTTTCACGTTCTTTGGTTTCTAGGGAACAAATATCAAACGAATTTATACACAGTCGAATGTAAATTTCCACGTTGACATTTCCCTTATTTTTTTCACGCTTTCTCGGTGTCCGATTCATCATCATCTCAGTAACTATTTCTCATATCTTAAAGCTCGCTTTTAATAGCGTGCAATGTCAAAGCAAAAGCGATAACATTCTTTTCACTGAAAATTCTGTCCACATTGTATTAATAAAGTGCACTCTTGACTTGACTTGCATTGACTTTTGTGTTTACTTCATAGTTGATCGTATGTCCCTAGGGTCGGTTCGCAAATGAGGAGCACATTTCGAAACATGTGAATCCACCAGCGATGGGAACTCCTAATTGGTTCATGTTGTGGACATTGTCCGACTATGACAAATTACTGTACGGATAATCTCATTAGCTGTGTATGTACGTGCAAATCACGTTTGGTAAAAAAAACTGACAGGTTTGGAGGCAGATGAGCACATAAGGGGAGGAGAAATCAATAAATGCGAAGACCAAATGTCACTAGTCTTGTGATGCAATCGATGGTTTCAAAGTTAAAACAATAGATCAACCAAGTGTGTGCTATTGATCCGGGACTGAAAAGTGTCACGTTCGAAAGTCATTGAAAAACGTTAGATGAACTCAGAAAGAACGACGACGATGTTGATATTTTATCGTTCAACAAAGGATCTGGAGCTGATATCACTAATAAACAGGATTATATTCGAAAAATGCAAGGAGTTATTTTGGGTAGAGGCAGATTGGTTCCCGACCGCTGTGTACGTGACCGGGCAGCAGCTGTTGTGGAGCAATCCGTTACGCGTGAATTACGACATTTGTGTAAAGATGTTCATATTAGCAGTGCCATACTTGTTCAACTTTTCCTCCGAGGCTCTCGGCTACTATGTATGGTCGGACTACCCAACAAAAGTTAGCACAATGGTTAGCCAAACTCATTCAACCAAGCAAACGAAGGTTTTTAAACTACACTCTGAGAAACTAGTTTGAGGTTTTAGAAAATCTTGGTCTGCAGGTGTTCATAAACACATTGTCTCATATGATGTTTGTTCCTTATTCACGAATCTTCCTTTCAGTGTAACTGCCGACATCGTTTATTCATATACTGATGAACTCAACATTCCAGCGCACAGTTTCCAAAAATTATTGCTTCTATGGACTAAGGATGTACAGATCGGTTTTAACAGAGATTAGTATCGTCAAGTTGAGGGAGTTGCAATGGGTAGTCCACCAGGACTGGTTCTGGCTAATATCTTCACGGGAAACCTGGAGAATACGAAAGTGAGACAATACATTAAGAACATTCACTTCTACGGCCGTGACGTAAACGAGACATTTTTCGTACTGAATGACAGCGCACAAGCACAAGTTGTTTAGAAAACTTAATCGTTCACATCCGAATATTAAATTCACGGCGGAGCACAAATCCAGTTCCTGGATGTTCAGTTGATGAAAAAAGGGAACGGATCTCTCATCAGATCCGTAGTTCACAAGCCGACATGGAAGGGACAGTATCTTAAGTTTGGAAGTTTCTGTCTAATACAATATAAACGATCGTTGATCCACAGTTTATTCACTTGAGGCAGGATAAGCTGTTCCAGTGAACCATGGGAGTTTGATTTTTGCTACATGAAAATGGGGACCCTAAAACGTTGACTGCAAAGTACGGAGTGCCCTACACTAGACCAGCACAAGGTGAAACTGGGTAGATAAAAGCTGTTTTGTCACCATATCGAATGGTAATCAAAATAGTAGGCGAATACAGCGCAGGTTGAAACAGGCAATTGAAAGAACCTATGAGGCTGCCTCCTTTATAATACTGTCCGACAACAAGCGAATACTCATTGAATCCAATCTAGACAAACACGACTCCTGTGTTTACCTATTTCAATGTACTTGCGATAGAAAGTACGTCTAAAGAGCTGAGAAATGATTTTCTATCAAGATAACAGTACATGCATTGAAGTATTTGAAATCTACTTAATTCAAGCTTCCGTCCAGGTCAATAGCCCGACATATAATGGTTTGCAAAGAATGTTACAAACCCAAGAACATCTTTCATGTCTTGATCCGCCAGAAGCGTAAACGTCTACTACGGTTTGCTGAAGCAGCGGCCCAATTTATCTAAACAGACCGGATTCGCGGCTAGCCTCGTGCTGCCCTGACAGGTGTCATTGGCGTCACTGTGCTTCTCCTTCAACCCCCATTCTACAGCAATTCGGTTCCGTGACACTATGTCCAATCCAGTTCGAATCAGTGATGTTTGGCCTTTATGGTGATTGATTTCCTCTCACCTGGTGTGTTCACCTGACCCCAAATCTATCATTCGTTTGACCAAACATGATCTGAATGCATGTGAACAGGTAATGAGATTATCGAAAAATAGCTGATTTCAATGCATTCTGTAATCATGATGTTTCTTCGTGCCCTCATGAAAATGTTGAAGGGCACTGTTTGCATTAAACCGGATCTTTTTACCTGACTGACATCGGATATCAGGGATTCTGGAATATCACTCGATGGTTATGCATTGCACTAAACGGATCGATCATCGTGTCATCATATTGACGGAGTTGTGCTTTTTGTCTATCTGGGCATCTCTATTCAATTGCTGAAGATCCCTCATTCATCCGCGAGGGTTTGGAAAAGCACTGTGATGCAGTATCAAACTTTGCGCTGAAAAATACAACATAGTAGGAGTGATCTACCGAACACCGGCAGTGTACGCCCCAGAGCTGCTGGCCAGCATGTAGAGGCATGCTAGGGATGCGCATTGTCTCATCTTGGGTGATTTCAATGAGCCACACATTGACTGGGGAACTAACAACTACCCTCAACAAGCAAATTTGATTGCCACAGAGCTCTTGCTCTCTCGTTTGTTAAGCATCTCCGCGAAACCACCCGGATAGTTGGTAACAAAACAACCATCCTTTACTTGGTGCTCTCTCTGAGGCAATCAGGCTCGGTCAGGATTGACGTCTTCCCACGGATTGTATCCAGTGATCAGTCCAATTTGCGACTACACTGCAGGCGTGGTTTATCACACTAGGACAGACTATAAGATAGAAAACATGGTTCTGCTCATTCTTTTGTAGATGCGTCATGAGATGGTTTTCCCATAACCCTGAGTATATTGATCAATCCTGGAAGTTGGTTCTTCACGGTACCCATCAACTGGAGCCGGAATTCTGTGCACCCCATCGATACCGAAACACACACCATGAGCCTACCGTAGTTTGAGCAGAAACTGCGAAGGTGCTTTCGACAGCGAAGCCAATCTTCGTTTAGGTATCGCGGAACAGACCCAAGATATGAGTAATACCGAGTTATTCGGAACCAGTATATTGCACTGAAGAAATGCAAGAGAACTCTCTTCAAGCAACGTCTCGCGATGGATTCAGCACAAGCACCATAGCTGCTGTATGCTTACCTCTGGTGACGAATCGGCNAATCGGCACCACCCCTGTCCTCCCGACTCCCGTCAAAGACTGCGTGGTTGTTGAAAACATCGAGGAAAAAGTCGTGATGTTGGCATTGCATTATTTCTCGGTGTTTTCCTCAGACCCCGACCCGTCGTCACATCCACTGGGTGCTGACACTTCCCCAGTTGGACACCATAGGGTCCGAAAGGAGATGTGATGTGCCTTAAAAGGATCCTGAGGGTGAAAACAGCCCGGAGTTGCAGTAGCAGTTTCCGCTACAAACAGAAAAATGCTCAAAGAGATATCCTCTCACGTTGCATAAACTTTAGTCGGTTGGCTTTCCGTTATTCTATCAACACTCGTGGAGGTCAACAACACTCTAGAATTACCTTCAAGCGACTGTAATGCATGAGGAGACTGCTTTGAGTTGGCGTCTGGATGGGATGCTCCACAAGGGCACAATAGAGGGATGATCACATGTGATCGAACCTTCGACCCAATGGCGACGGGGCTTACACAGGTATCCTGCCGTCTGCCTTCAATACGGAAGACTGAAGACTGATTGGTTCACTATGAAATAAATAAATGTTTCTCTTCACTTCCTTTATATTCATTGAATATATAATCATACATTCAATATTCAGGGAGGGGGGTCGCGACGATACAAAGGCTGCCTGGAAAGGACTTTCGCGTCATCCTAGCTCGACATGGTGACACTTCCCTCATTCACATTTTTATATTTTGTAATCCATTCCCGAACTCTGCATTTAATATGTAATTTTCTGCAGTAGGCGGCAGTCTAGATGCAATGAAATCGTCCAGGACATAGATCGTGCCATGCTGTTATACTGACTTCTCTGTTCAAATCATTGTATAGTTAGTTATATTGTTATCATTTGGAAAACCAGTTGGTATCCAAAACAGCAAACCAGATCGAAATCAACTTCACCTCGCTTTGGGAATGTGCTACTAATTTCTCCTTTCAAGGCACAGTGTATATTTCAAATTAAGTCACTGATTAATAGTCCTGGCAGCCACTTACTCCAGTGTAATTCCCACTATACTTATTGTCACTTAAGATGACTGGTAATCAGGTCAAAACGTTCCCAATGTATCCAATTAGCCCGAGACAAGTAAATACAGATTTTGATTACTTCATCACACTTAAAACCTATTGGTCAATAACTGCCATCAAATTGTGCGCCCGCAAACACTGCACTCTGATTGGCTCATGGAGATTGGAGTGTGGATATGAATGAACCAATGCGAACCGGGTCGTACGAATATTGACAAAGCATGTGAAATAGTTATACTTTAAACACCAATCAGCCAGAACAGTTAGTTCATCCGAGAAAAATGTATCGAAACAAATGGTGATTTTGTTTATCCCCTGAACGACGGTGCTGTACCGAATGGAGCGACATTTTGTGGCTACCAAACCGGAGAATTCGAACATTCCTCGATTCGTTCGTGTTGGCCCCAGTCGACCGACCGGTTCCACCCTAACTGACACCACGGGTGCAGCACCCGCGTTCAGCAAAAGTCCCGTCAGGACGAAGCCATTCAAACCATCGACGTTTTCCATTCAAGTGTATAGTGAACCATTTGGGGATGAACACAAAGCGGACGGTAGCACACACAGTTCCCCGGCTAAAGACAATCGGGGTAAATCGCCATCAAAGAAGCATGAATCAGCACTCACGACCACAACACAAACAACAACAAAGGAGATTGTTCTGCAACCAACGAAAATTATTTTGTCTGAACAAGAACCGGAAAATATCGGTTGCATGTGTTGTGCACGTCGTCAAAACGACCGTGTATCGACGAATGTGAAAACGACATCCACGTTGTTGCAAAGCAGCGTTCAAACCACAAATGGATCTCACAGTAACAGTGCATCACCATCAAATGCAAAACGTCGAACAAAATCGAACAGCAAAAAATGCAGTAAAGCAATCAGTTATTTCAAAAGTTTTGTATCATTCCTATTCTCACACATCGGTTTGTGTCTGTTGGTTGCCGGTTATTCTGCCGGTGGTGCGTTTCTCTTTCAACAAATTGAGCGCGATTTTCACAACGNACCGAACTGATTAACTTAGGCCACAATGTGCAACAGCTGATTTGGCAGTTACACTCACAACTTATAGACAATTGTACATACCACACATTGTTATGGGTGGAAGAAAATAGGCGTATATTTGACCAATCGGAAAACCCAACCGATTGGCTGCATTTACTCAGAGAAACTGCTTCTTCTTCCTCCGGTGCTGCAGACACCGATGATAAAACGACTGGGAATGGTGCTGTGGTCACCAAAATTACTACTCGGATTNTGAATCGACAAACGCGAAAGACGCGATTCCGGTTCGAACCGCGAATGAACACGTCCGGGCTGCCAAATTGTTTCAACTGCAACTGAAAACACTTCTATCGAACATCACTATGGATTATTTAAATCAGATCGTCATAAACAGTGAAGATCTTTTGGACAACGCTTACAAATCCTGTGATGCCGGTTGGAGACCGAAAGAAATCCGAGGCTTTTTTCATTTCGACTACCCAGATCCCGAGGTTTCAAGCTGTGTCAATTGTTCCGCCACTGGACAAGCGCTCTCCCAGGAAAACGTTAGCTGGTCTGGGAAAACCCCATGTGAGTGTTGGGATCAAGCTCATTGCCCTTGTCTCACACGAACCACGGCTTTGAGCAAAACGAGTAATGCGGATTATGGCGAAGCGTGGACACTGACCGGCGCACTATTGTACTCCGTGACGGTGATCACGACCATTGGTGAGTCACCCAATTGTAATTGTAATTTATGACTCGATACACCTAATCAGGACGCCTAATGAGCAAAATTCATTTAGTTTATCATCACTAATTTCTCGCAAACACGTGGCAAACCTTTGTCGTTTTAGCAGGGCTTACGCAAAATTTGCAGGCGTGTCTGGTGAGATTGCCTTTCTTTTCGTTTGTCTTCCTCGGGTCTTCACTGATGGAAATAATGTGGAAACATTGTAGCCCGATGTGCGACTGATGATTTTACCTAGCCTGGTTACGAAACGTCTGCGAATAGCACTTCCATCTCTCGGAGCACACACCATCACCACCACCAACAACAACATGGTTGACTGATTTTTGCTTATTAAACTACTCAGAAGCCACCTCCTGTTTGGGGTTGGGGGTATCGAATTCTTGGATTAGTTTGTGTTAAACAACATGGCTTACCTATGTGGCTCCAATTTCAACCTACTCGTTAACCAATTATTTTGTTTCGATTTAAAAACCTTTGTTTGAGCCATTCGAGGTGTGACATAACCCGGCTGATAGACGTGTTTCAGTTACGTATAAGGTTTCTCACAGGAAGACAAGTTTGGCTCACTTTCTACAAATGGGGTCTTGGAACCGCATCCAGATCCTAATGTAGATTTCGAGTGAACATGATTAATTCATCATGGTAATAATAGCACTAATAATAATAATAATAATAATAATAATAATAATAATGATTATAATCACTATGGCTTAATCATAGGCGTTCAATTATAGAAACGGTGTGTATTGTAAATCTTGGTGACCTGAACATGAATTGGTCAGAAGTAAATGATCAACTGTGAGACGATTTACATTTGGGTTTTTGTTGAACCCCCGTTTGCAACTAAGCTAGTTCCCGAAACTGTAAAACTTACCGGACTCCCTCTGTCATTGTCAATTTGTTCAATCTATAATGGGATGGGGAGGAGATTGTAAAATCAGCACCAAATTATAGGAAACGAGCTAAATTGATGACCAGCTGTATCCACTAGCCGAACGGTTCTGTCTTACATGTAAGTAAGCGAAGCGTTTCAGCTTGCATCATATATATATATATATATATGTTTACTGATAATTAGTCATTCTATTTATGTGCTTGCAATGAGATTTTTGAAACGAAGATTGTATTCTTCAGTGCTGATGCTGCTGCTCTTGGTGTCCCTTTGATCACTCATGGTTTAAAGGAATGATCGGAGACAATTCTCATCCTATCCACTGAAGCTACCTGAAATCAAAAGGTCAATGCGTACGCACAAAAATTGTTTTTGTTTCACAGCTCTTAAATGGAATTCTCGCAACTGTTGATAAACGGTAAATGAGACCTGTTCCTGAACTTCTCGGTTCTGCATAGTATTAATTAAGTTAAATTCAAACAGATTCCACTCGTTCTCGTCGTCAACCGGGTAACAATTGTTTATGCAAATTGAGAAGCATTTTCAAGAAGTGACGAACAAGTTTTCCTCGAGATCAACATAAAACCTCTTAGAGTGTCGCAGTTGGATGAGATTGCCATCAAACAACGAGTGAAAATGTGGGAAAATTGTGAGTACCGAGTGTTCACCTATGGAACATCCAATTGGATGTGTACTTTTGTTTGTGCGCGTTTGCTAGAGAAACATCTACTCGAAACCCATTCAAAAGGTGTCTGGCAACAAAATTTCAGAGAAAAATACCATTGAATTTTTCACATTTATGGGACAATATCATGCCATGTATTCTGCACAAAGATTTTTGGTAACAACTATAACTTGTCATATGTCAGTATGGCTATTGGGATGATGATGATGATGATGATGAGATTTCACTTCCATTGAGTTGATTTACAACACGCACAATCCGCAACCACTAAGACGCGTGTGAGAGGGAGACAGGGAAACCGCAGTTAGATGCCATCCACCCGCAATCGCAGACTGATGAAATGCTTCCGGACTAAGTGCCGAATCCGCGTGATTGGTGTGTGCCAAGTTAAACCAAGCAGCGACTTTAATCCGCCCCCACCCCAATAGGGGATGAACATTCAGCTACTACATAATCAATCTTCTGTGGAAATTACATGGTACAAAATGAACGACGAGACGTCACATATATAAACAAAGAAGGGGAATTTCGCAAAGCGTTTGTTTAACGGTCCCAATGACAAGATCGGCGTTAGTAAGAAACCGTGCCAATTGTGGTGTTGCAAAAGATTTTTATGTTGTGGTGCGTGAGGCTATATGCATACACTTGAAGCGAGTGGTAGATGTAGAAA